AATCATATGATTTTTTTATATTTCATTCTGTTAACATGGTATATCACATTGATTTGTGTATGTCAAACCAAACTTGTATCCCAGGAATAAATCCCACTTGGCCATAGAATATGATCTTTTTTTTTTTTTTAAAAAAAAAGATTGATTTATTTATTTGACAGAGAGGAGGTGCAGAGGGAGAGAGAGAATCTTAAGCAGATTCCATGCTGAGTGCAGAGCAGGTCAAGAGGTTTGATCTCACGACTCTTGAGATCATGACCTGAGCTGAAACCAAGAGTTGCACACTTAACCAACTGAGTCACTCAGGCACCTCAGAATATAATCTTTTTGATGCTATTGTTTAATTCATTTTGCTAACCTATCTTTATAATGGGGAGCATATTTCCTATTTTTTTCCAGGAGATTATATATATATATATATATATATATATATATATATATATATATATATATATATATAGTTTCTTCACCATAGTATTTGTTCCCATGATGAATTACAGCTGAGCCATTGGGGCACCTGGGTGGGTCAGTGATTGAGTGTCTGCCTTTGGCTCAGGATGTGATCCTGGATCCTGGAATTGAGCCTCACATTAGGTTCTCTGCAGAGCCTGCTTCTCCTTCTGCCTATGTCTCTGCCTCTCTCTCTGTGTCACTTGTGAATAAATAAATAAAAATCTTTAAAAAGATTCCCTTTTGATTTCCTCTTCCACCCAGTGATTATTACAAGAGTGTATTATTTAGCTTCCACATATTTGTGAATTTTCCCATTTTCTTGTTTTAGTGATTTCTAGTTCATTCCACTGTAATCAGAAAAGATACATGGTATAACTTGTATCTTCTTAAATTTGTTAAGACTTGTTTTGTCAGCAAACATGTGTTCTATCAGTGGAGAATGTTCTGTGTGCACTTGAGAAGATTATTTATTCTTTGGCTGTTGGGTGAAAAGTTCTGAATGTCTGTTAGGTCTATTGGGTCTATAGAGTTGTTCAAGTCCCTTGTTTCTTTCAATCCTTCTGTCTGGATGTTCTATCATTGAGTGTGGGGTAGTGAAATCTCCTACTATTATTGTTTGCTGTCAGTTTAGACTTTCAGATATGTCAATATTTGTCTTGCATACTTAGGTAGTCTGATGTTGGATGCATATATTTTTACAATTGTTATATGTCCCCATTGGATCGACCCTTTCATCATTATATAATCACCTTCTTTGGCTCTAAATACAACTTTTGATTTAAAATCTACTTTACCAATGAGTTTAATGCTTTAGTTTCTTGTGTCGCTATGTAGTGTCCTTTAATTTCTACTTGAAAAACTCTGTTGAACAACCAGGAAGAACTCATTCCAGCAGATTTCCTTTAGAAGGAATCATGTGGCCCAGGATATGAAACAATTCATTTCAATTTATCTGTCACAGAAAAAGTGGCCAGCCAAACTAATTCTGGACATTGAGTGTATTAAACTAAAGAAAAGCAAAAAAGAAAAAAAAATCATTTTTAGGAGCTTGAAGATGGTGCCAATATAAAGCAGTAGAGAGGCAGGTTCGAGTATGAAGGCAAATGGCCCTTTTGCCTGGATCAGCAGAGCAAGAAGTCATTACTACACTGGCTAATACCAAAACACCAATGGTGGCTCTTTAAATCCCCCATCTGCTTCTCTATACTCTGATGAAAGTGCTAGAGTTTGGGTGTTGGGAGCTGCTCTCTTCAAGGACAGTGTGGTAGTTGCTGGAATCCTGTAATAGAGAAGCAAGATCCAGCGCTCAGTCACACTCAAGGACCTTGAGTAAGGGAGGAGCAGTTCCACTTCTCAGCAGTAATTCCCTAGTGGGGAATAAGAGGAGAAACAGTTCTGGGCTCTACACAGGAGGAAAAGTCTACACAATGGCATAAGGGCTGATGTGAAGCCTGGGATGGTGTTATGAGTTGAACTGTGTCTTGCCAAAAAAGATATGCTAAAGTCCTGAACCCCAGTACCTCAGAATATGACCTTATTTGGAAATAGGGTCTTTTACAGAGACCATCAAATTATAGTGAGGCCACAAGAGTGGGCCTTAATCCAATATAATTGCTATCCTTGTAAAAAGAGGCAATCTGGATAGAGAGGGAAGGCCACGTGAAGATACACAGGTGGCGGCGGGGTGGGGAGATGGCCATGTGCCTAGAATGAGACATCTACTAGCCAAAGAGCACTACACACTACTGGCAACAACCAGAAGCGAGGGGAGGTAAGGAAGGGTTCCCCTACAGCAGTCAGAGAGAATCTGGCCCTGCCAACACCTTCATTTGGGATTTCTAGGCTCTAGAATAGGGAGAGAGTAAATTTCTGTTGTGTTAAGCCATTCAGTTTTTGGCATTTTGTTAAGGCAACCCCAGGAAACTAACATAGGTGGGGAAAGAGCAGAGATGTATGAACTATTCTACTTCCTTTATTCCTGAAATGATCCATAAAGCATACCACAGCTTTTGTATCTATCTACCCTTTGGTGGTTCAGCTCATCCATAGGCTGTACAAATTTTGTACTATTCACAGCTTTCAGGATCACACTCACTTTGGGTCCCTGGGAGATTCTGTTCTTGGTCCTCTTCTTACCTGTTATTTGGATCCTCATGTTGTATCATCTTGACTGATATTATGTTCCTCATGCCCATTTGGTAAAATTCTATGTCCACACCTATCATTATGTAAAGGCAGGAGTCTCCTCAGGAAACATTCTCCACCACTGCCAACAAATTGAATTCATCCTCAGATCCTCCTAATGAGCAGCTACTTTTGAAAGGAATTCTGGGCCAACAGGAAGAAGGAAAACACTGCAAATGTAGATAGGGAGGAAGGTTAATTCTACACAGTGACGCCATTTACAGGAAACTTGATCCTAAAGGCTGTCGATTAGAAAGCACACATGGAAAGAAAGATCCTCTTCTGTATCTAGTAACCATAAAAAAATGGTGGGCACCAAACCCAGCTTATTATCTTCCTTCCTCACACCAGGTCTTCTGGGCTCTCTCCTGAAAAATGGTGCTGCATTATCCTGAACAGCTAGTCTTAGACAGAGCTGGGGCTAGGGTGAGGCAAGTGAGCTGCCTGGGTATGAAATTTGAGGAAGCACTAACTCAGGGGCAGCTTTGGTCTTGAAACCCAACATCTGGTCAATCATCAACTCAGGTCTCCTCTCCCTCCACATCATCTCTTAGTGGCTCCTCATAGGTCTCGGCATGTTGGACTAAGAGAAAGGATGGAGGACAGGTGAGCATCTCCCTTATATTCTCACTGTAGTTGCTTTAGCAGAGGCCTAGTCATTTGTCACCCTTTTGGTGTTAGTTGTATTACAATAATCACTCGTATTCTTCTACTATCCTGCACCCTCAGTGTGTTTATGTGATTCCTTGAGATCTAAAAAATAAATTTCAAACTCCTTTGCATTCAAGTTGTCTTGACCCAGCTTTTCAGCCTCACCTAGCACTACATCCTCACCCCAAGCACATTGTTACCTGGTTCAGATGGTCACTCACCATTCTCTCTGTATGTGCCATGCACTTCTTTTTTTTTTAATTTTTTTTAATTTTTTTATTTATTTATGATAGTCACAGAGAGAGAGAGACGCAGAGACATAGGCAGAGGGAGAAGCAGGCTCCATGCACCGGGAGCCCGATGTGGGATTCGATCCTGGGTCTCCAGGATCACGCCCTGGGCCAAAGGCAGGCGCCAAACCGCTGCGCCACCCAGGGATCCTTGTGCCATGCACTTCTGTGCCTTAGCATCTTAGTTCACATTCTTTCTTTATACTGGGATGAACCACCTTCTCCATCTGGGACAAGCCATACCAGGATCTGGCTGCAAAGTTCACCTTCTCTGAGAATCCTTCTCTGTTCTAATCTTGTAAGACAGCTCTTATTTCATATGCTGCCTTTTATTTAGTTAGCATTTCCACATAGCCGCCTCCCATCTTCCCCCATCTTGTCTGTTGACACAGTGTTCAGTTGTCCTTGTGGTCATCACACCACTTTGCACAGAAGAGTACCTCCATAAGTGCTTATTGAGCCCAAGTGTGAAATGGCTCAAAGGCAGCTTTTTGTAAGTTACTGTTCCTTTTTTCTCCTGTTACTTTTATTCCTCCCACTGCCACTATTTTCATCTTCTTCTACTTCATCATTTTTGACTTTTGACCCTAACAGTGAAATGAAATAGGCAATTGGATTTTTATGAGAAGCAGCAAGCAATCCTTAGAAGATCTGTGTTGGTGGGGGCACCTGGGTAGCTCAGTGGTTGAGCATCTGCCTTTGGCTCAGATCATGATCCTGGGGTCCTGAAACTGAGTCCTGCATCAGGCTCCCTGCAGAAAGCCTGCTTCTCCCTCTTCCTATGTCTCTGCCTGTCTCTCTCTGTGTCTCTCATGAATAAATAAAATAAAATAAAAGAAGGTCTGTCTTGGTGATGGCAGGATGTGTCTTATTCCCAGCCCTATTCTCAGGGCTTGGCACATAGTTGGTGCTCAAGAAATAATTACCAAAAGAGTGACTTCATAGCAAATACATTGTTGCATATTATAAGAGGTTTATGGGAGGATTTCTAACACTTTCAAGTTGTTAAAAAACAATTTAAAACATCTGCATCAATCCCACAGAGTATAGCATGAAGAGTTGTTTTCCAGTCTTATACTTTTCATTGACTTCTATCAATAACCCAAAGGAGCATATGCCAAGTTGGGGTTGCACCATGTGCTCCTGGAGACAGGAACAAAGTGAGTTCTTGCAAGGGGTAGTGGAAGGGGAGGTGGGCAGAGGAATGGGGTGACTGGGTGATGGGCACTGACGGGGGCACTTGATGGGATGAGCACTGGGTGTTATACTATATGTTGGCAAATCGAACTCCAATAAAAAAAATACACAAAAAACAAAAAAAAAAGTGAGTTCTTGGTCTCAGGCTTCCTAGCCTGTCCTGGGAAGAATGTCTCTTAGAATTTTTGCATTTTCTGGTAATACCACAAGAAGAGAAGGAGAAGGTTTTACATTTAGTAACATTTATTTATGCATTCAGTATCAAGTACATAAGTGCAAATATCCAGAGTCCATAATTAAGTCCATTAGGAACTACAGAGAAAGTAATACAAATTGTAATAAAGTTAACATGCTGGTACTTTTTTTTTTTTTTACCATACATGTGAATCAGCCTGTCAGTCCCACACAACAAAAGTACTGCATGTTTTTTTTTTTTTGAGGGGGAGGGGTTATTCATTTATTTAATTATTTTAAGTTATACAAAACTGATTACCAGAAGTACGGTCGACTGTTTTTAGTTTTATGTTGTGTGTTGGAAAAACACTAAAACATCAGTCTACATTTCTATATATTGTTATTAAAGATGAATCCAACCAGCAACCCAAGGACATATAAGCGGTTTCCACTACGGCATTGGTGCACTCGGCGGGAAAGGCCTAGCCACAGGGGACATTAGAAGCTACAGAAGCATTGCAGAGAGGAGGAGGAGAACACCGAAGAAGAGAAAATAAGTTGGGCTCTCACCATCATGCACTTTTTTTTAGCAACACAAAATTAAAACCACATCTAATACACTTTTCTCTATACTTTAGTGCTTGACACAAGTGACTCAAATATCCTAAGAGTACAGGAACAGCCTAAAAACAGCTGTTTTAAAGTTTGTCTCTAAGATTACGGTATTGGGGGGAGAAACAATCAATTTGCAGTAACACGTAAGAAGAGCTGTTACCACTCCAGACATTCTGGTTTGTGTCCAATCCCCGGTGGGACATCGATTTACTCAGCATGCCTTTTAGCGCCTGGGATTTTAGCCTGAATCCTAAAAAGACAATATCAAAAAACAGTAAGCCACAAGTGTTGTTAATGAAATCATTCTGTGACTTCATTATGTGTTGTTGCTTTAATGAGCTAGCTGACCAAATAGCTTCATATTATAAAAGCTACAATAGTAAAGTAGGAATGTCTATGAACACATTTCTATGCAGCAATAGAGACACATTTCTGCATATCGAACTGAGACCCAGAAATGAACAGGACAGGCTCCATCCATCTACTCTGCACAGAGTTCATAGTGGCACTGAGATCTCCAGACCTAGTCTAGGACTTTCTGTCACACTCCTCTTCAACAGATCTCCAGGCAATAACAGGACAATAAGGAGGAGGAGGATGCCCAATATTTATTGAGTGTGTCTCATATCCAAGTCAGAGTACTTTACAGACCTTATCTCGTTCAATCCCCAGAAACCGTTAAGTGTTAAGTATTAACATTCCCAGTGTGCAAATAAAGAAACAGGTTCACAGAGTCAAATAACATTTATGGTGAACTCCTATAGCTAAAGATGCCAGAAATGGACTCAAACTAGCCTGATTCCAAGATCATGTTCTTAACTATTTAGCAAAATGATGTGAGTTCTGCTGGGGATTATTCTAACATGGAGTCAGAATTTCAGAGGCGTAGGAGGCTTAGAGGTAAGATTCTACCAAGAAATTTCCTTCAAAATTTAGTGTCAGCCAAAACAGGTTTTCTCAAAGAACTTCTTGGTTCCCTCCTCTCTGATAATAAGATCTATGCAACTTAACCTGGTTTATCTTTTTGTTCTAGTTACCAAGACGCTCAGAGCCAAATCCGAATAAAGCTCAGTTACAGAAACCAGAGTAGTTCTCATGGGTACATTTTCTATTCCTTTTCACAGCCTTGGTTCCCAATTTTAATTTAACGATTGCATTGTACATGTATGTACATACACTGTATGTTCTTTGTCTTCTCTCCTTTTTCTTCACTTTAGTAGGCCTATACCCTTATCACTTTTGGTGAACTATGATAGCCTCCTAGCCACTCTGACCGCCAGGTCTCCACTCTCCTGTTCAATTCTCCTCCCATTAGATTGTCATAGTGTTCTATATAAAACACAGCTCTGATTACATCACCCGGGCTTAAAATATCAGGGGCTGGCCATTTCCCATTGGGTCAGAGTCATGCCTTAGAGCATTCAACACTTGACCTCAGCCTCTCTAGACTCTTTCCAGTTGATCTTTCTACTCATTTAAGCTTTAGACATACTGGTTGACTCATTGTTTCCTACCTGACCTACACTTTCATGCTTCTGCCTCTGCTTATATTATTTCTTCTTCCTGCAATGTCTTTCCCCTCATCACCCACATGATGAATGGTCACTCATCCTCCAGGGCCGCTCTAGACCCAAAGTTTGTGCCCTCCCGTTCCAAATTCATTTGTTGAAACTTAACCCCCACTGTGTTGGTATTAGGAAGTGAGGCCTTTCAGAAGTTATTAGGTCATGAGGGAGCCTTCATGAATAGGATTAGTATCCTGTAAAAGACACCTCAGAGAGCTCCCTTCCATTTCTACCATGTGAGGACACAGCGAGAAGTCTATAACCTGGAAGACAGCCCTGACCATGACCATGTTGGCACTCTGATCCTGGACTTCCAGGCTCCAGAACTGTCAGAAATAAATTTGTGTTGTTTATAAGCCACTTGGTCTATGGTACTATGCTATAGCAGCCTGAACTAAAACAAAAGGCCTTCATGTTAGTGAGGATTTAATGTCATTTCCATTATCTCTCTAGGTAGGAACAGTTATTTATCTCCCTGACCTTAACATTTTATACAACTACACTGTAGTTCTTATACTGTCTCATACTTATTTCTTTACAGTTCTGTAAAGAAAAGAGGCTGAGAGCTGTACTAGGGTGGGGACCATCTCATTCATCTTTATACCCTCTGTGCCTATTACATGCAGTACCTGGAACATCACAGGGATGCCTTTTTTTTGGGACAAACAGACCAATCAATGAAATAAAATTAATAGATATGATTTGCTCGAGATCCCCAAACTAAGTATTGGACAACTTGGGACTAGGATTTCTATCTTCTAGTTTCTAAGCTCCTGTTCTGGTGTTTTGGTGTTCTCCTGCTCTGGTGTTGCTATAGTTCCCTAAAACACAGCTTTCATTGCCAAAAAGTCACCTGGGGACTTCCTTAAAGAGTGGATTCCAGGTCCCCAATCCTAGAAATTCTAATTTTACATGTCTGTTTTAAGAACCTGGGAACTAGGGTCTTTAACAGGTTCCCCAGTCTTGGCACCACCAACTTTCATACTATACCATGCTGATACTTCTCCATACAAAATAATGAATACTTTATCTTCAATATGTGGATTTTCATGGAGGTATTAGCTGCATTTGGGTCCAAGGTGATAATTTCGGCATTTTGAAGTATGTTGTAGATCAGATCTAGATCCAAGTTCACCATGAATTTAAGAGGAAGAATATGAACAGTACACAGTAAAAACCAAAAATTTTTATATACTTTAGGAGAGAATCAGAACTGATAATATGCAAATCAGATACCAGTAGAACTTTAAAGTGGTTGTTTTATTTGTTTGTTTTGTTTTAGATGTATTTGGCTAAAATGCTACCCCTCTCTTCTGACCACCACCTGGGTCCAGCCACATGAGTCTAAGATTATGAGAGGGAGTTTGTGTTCATAAAGTCTAGCCCTTCTGTGGAATGTATTTCTGGTTGGAGCCTAGGTCAGCTTTTGATGAAAACAAAATTGTTAATAAAATGACAACGTAAATAAAAACTATCATTTTTAGTTGAAGAGATACTTACAAACACTAACTTAAGAGTTATGGAAAACTAAGATTAATGTCTATGTTAGCTGTGGCTACTCACAACTGCAATTTTTATCTCCTGATATATAAAATGACCATAAAGTAGAGTCTATTGAAGACTCAGGTTTAAAAAGCAATGGTGTTGGGGATCCCTGGGTGGCGCAGCAGTTTGGCGCCTGCCTTTGGCCCAGGGCGCGATCCTGGAGACCCGGGATTGAATCCCACGTCAGGCTCCTGGTGTATGGAGCCTGCTTCTCCCTCTGCCTGTGTCTCTGCCCCTCTCTCTCTCTCTCTGTATGACTATAGTAAATAAATAAAAAAATTAAAAAAAAAAAGGAAAAAAAACCCAAAAATGTCAAAAAAAAAAGCAATGGTGTTAATTAAGTCAATAAACACACACTTGTTGAGTCAAAATGATGTAATAGAATCATAACAGCTGTTACAGATTTAAAAAATTTTTCAAGTTGTATAAACAATTTCAATGGTTTATAAAATCAGTGGTATTTATTGTTGAAAATGTTAACTTGCTTGTTTTTATTTCAATTAAACTGTTATAAATTAATTTTAGTTTTCTGAATTAGGCTTCCTTATTTCCTTCAAGCCCATTTTGTTCTTGGACATGAGCTAGTCCCCAGAGCTTAATGTTATTTATTCATTAATGCTCATGCATCACAATACCCAAAGTAAACCACTTAAAGTTTTATTTAATTGAGAGTTTTAAAATGTATACCTATTTTCTGAAGTAATATGATTGGGAAAGGAGTGCATACAAGACTTAAATAAGTGAGTGATCATAAATGAAGTTACTATTTTATTATCCTTTTATTACCCCTATCGAATCCACACAAATGCCTGCCTAAGACAGTCTCTCCTTTTTAGGAATTGCACTTGTAACTTACTTCGCCACAACAGCATTTATGTGAGTCCTCACAAGTCCCAGATATTGGTCAATCTGTGCCTACGAAGAGTAAGAAATCATGAGCAAATCCAAAGGTCACAAGGTCAAAATTTAAGATGAATATTGGACATCACACAGGACTTACCTGGTGCTTAACATACACTACAGGTAGAGTAAACATTGAAACCACAGCTGGGATGAAAAAGCAAACACAGTATTAAAATTCCGAGAGTTAAGAGTGAGAATAAGCTTTTAGATATGTTTTTATGCAATTATGTGATTTATACCATTATTTTATAGTAGCTAGCAGTTTAACTAAAAGATGGCAGGGCAGTCCATAAGGAAAATAAAGGGATGCTGAGTATCTTACAGATATTAAGCTATGATTCCTGGAATGAGGATGGACTATACCCTCCCATGATGAAAATGAGTTTTTATCTCTAACTGCCTATTGCAGACAGATATTGATTGGAAACCAAATAAAATGAGTCGTGCTTAAAGAGAAAAAAAATGCTTCAGACTAAGAAATTCATTATTAATGTGTAATATATATTATACTCTTTAGTTGAACTGTGATGGTCAGGAAAATGCCCTGTACTATGTGGTGTCTGTTCCTAGGAATCTATGACAACAAACTCACGGCTAATAGCCTAAGAAGCTTTATGCTCACAGAGCGTGTGAAGAAAGACATAACGTACTCATCTGTCCTTACCCATGAGCAGCAGGGTCAGCCCATTGAAGAGAGCGCCAACATAAGTCAGGAGCCACATCAGGACTGCAAACTAAACAACAAAATGATTATCAGAGCTTCTAAAGTCATTTGTGACAGATGAGAGTCTTATTTCATTGACTTTTTTAGATTAAAATTTGAGGGAAAATACTCCGTGGTTTCAGTAGAAAATGTAAACATGTAAAGCTCATCACAGAATTACTGAAAGAGAATCTAATCTTTACTTCTCTGAGAGCCCTTTGGATCTCTTTGTTATAAGATTTGAAGGATCCAATGAAATAATAAGGTAGGGATCAGCAAACTATGGCCCTTGGCCTATGTTCTATGGGCCCATGAGTTAAGCATGAATTTTATATCTTTAAATGGTCAAATAAAATCAAAGCAAGAATAACATTTTGTGACATGTAAAAATGATATGAAATGCAATTTTCAGTGTTTGTAAATAGAGTTTTACTGGCACACAGCCACAGTCATTCATTTATGCATTGTGTTTGGTTGCTTTCCTACTATGATGGCAAGCTAAGTAGCTGGGACAGAGATTTAGGCATGTGAAGCCTAAAGTATTTGCCACGTGGTCCTTTGCAAATAAGAACTGCTGACCTCTGCTCTAGCCCATTATTATTCTACAAATAGAAACATCACTTTAAAAGTCCTTGGGTAGGTAATTACAATCTCCCTGAGTCTCTCTTTAGTCATTACCTGGAAAGATGTTATTCCAGGAAAGCATCTTGAGGGTCAAAGCCATGTTAGGTACTTTTGCTTCTAGCCCTCCTCAGACACTTGCTGGGAGTCCCTGCTAAAAGACCCCTGCCCAGTATGTACAAAGCATCCTGGGAACACATAACAACCTCATTCCGGCCCTGCCGTACCATGACTGACTGACTTCAGTCTTATACATACACTGCCTGATGGGAAAAGCTGCTTGTTCAAAAAAACCTGGTAAGTTCAATGAGAGTGCCAGGAGTAGCACCCAGGGGCCCATGGTCTTCTGCTTCGGAGGCTCAGTCTCACGGCCCACATCACATAAGGATACATGGACAGCTCACTGTTAGCAGAGGCCAGTGTTTAACAAAGAAAGCATATATGTTTTTCACAATCCCCAAGCTAGATTTTTTTTTAAATTAATTTTAGGAAATTGGCTGAGGAATTTAAAATGGTAAGGACAAACAACCTAGCATGTTGTAAAAAGTACAGAATTAGAAGCTGTGTGACCCTCTGTTTGATCCCGACTTTGCCAGTGACTCACTGGGCAATCTCAGGCAAATGTCTTAGCCTCTCTGAGCCACAGTTTTGGCAGGTGTAAAACGAGGGGATTGGACTGGATGAGTGCTCGGGACTATACAGCTGGAAGTTTTCTGATTCTTGAATGTAACCAGCAATTGCTTTTTATTCACCATTTTGTGGTGGTTTACAGTATACCTTTGGGGAAAAAGAAACTCAAGACTGCCAAGTGAATGGCATAAGCAATCATACTTTTAAGGAATCCACCAGGTCCTGGACAAGGAAGAGCCTCCTCAGTTCCTTCAGTGTATTGTTCACATAGAACTGCAGGCAGTCCGTGTACTTCTGGATCTGCTCCTGAGAAAGCGTTATCTCGAGCTCCAAGTAGGTCCTGCCAATAAACCATCCCCACAGAAAGCCCCATCAGAGGTAATCTCCAAACAGCTGAGTTTTCTTTCTCCCGCTCTGACAACCACCGGGTCAACTCTGGGGGCTTTATACCAGCCAGGGGGCTGTAGGGCACCATACACACCCACTGCCAGGACAATGGGGAACCTGGGAATTATGGCTGTTAGTGGTGTGCTATGACTATTTCTGTGTCCCCAAGATAGCATTATGGGTGAGCTGATAATACAGAGCAATTGGCCACAGCCAGAGAAAAGTCAGTCTAAAATCAGCTCATTTGATGTATCCTCCCTACATCACTGGCCCACTAGGTAGTTGTGAAAGTCTTCATTTCTTGTTGGCTGCATGGAGATGTATTATCTTTTTAAGTAACTGAGGTACCTGAAAATCCTAGCTGCCAATCATTGTTCATTGCCGAAAATTTGGGAAAATACTTCCAGGTTTTATGTAGAGAGCCCTGAAAACTCCAGTGACCTAGGCCATATTCAAAAGCTCACTGTTTCTACTAAGAGCAATATTTTTAGTGACTACATTTTTCATTTGTTCAAAATGTGACATGTGATTATGGGTATAAAAACCAGGCTCCTCAAATAGTCCATCTTCTTGTTTGGCCACGCTGCCCACCATGGGTGCATCCTTCCTTCCTCCTTCCCTTTCTCTCTTCTGTTTTAAGACAGCACCACGTTGTGTACCTAGAGGATATTTCTAGAGTTCTTACAGTGTTACCTAACTCTGTGAACTGAGACCAAAAAAAGTAAAGTAGCATTTGATTTGGATTTCGGAGATTACACTGAAGTCTTACGGCTTTCCTACTCTTTAGGAAAAAAATAGAGAAATGTTGATTTGTCTAGATAGTAAGTTTTGATCCAAAATATAGTCTGAGTCAGATATTCCTTTTACCGATAAAGACAACTCAGCCAAAGGAGAGTTTTTTATTTTAAATTTGTCTCCTACAGGAAGATAAAGTAATTGAGCTAATTGAATGTGACAGTCTTGGAGGCCAAGAACGTGGAAGACACCAGCTTTCCTTGGATGGCTGAGGGTAGAGGCTGGGGCAGAGCAGGACTCTGAACATGTGAACCCTGGTCACAGGCTGGGGCCCCTGAAATAGGCATGGAATAACCCCGGTATGAAGACACTCTGCTTCTCTGCTTCTCTCGCCTTCGGGGTGGGAACTTGTCCAGCCAAGTTATAGCCTAGAAGACCCACTAACTCTGCATTAGAAGAAGGCCGACTACATCCCGAGGGCAAGAATCCTCGGACTGTAACAGTTTAAGACCGAGGCCAGGAACAGAGTCTGGGAAGGGAGGTCTGGTACACAGTGTTTTCCCCTTCTGTCAATAAGTCCCTGTAACACAGGCATCTTTTCCCCTTTTAAGAGCCTGGTGCCCTAAGGCCTTCATAAGCTCATGGGTGAGGGTGAGCCACGGAGGATGCAGAAGCATCCTGGCAAATGACTGGGTCTGGCTCAGAAGCCATCTGCAGCAGCATCTACAATGCCCATCAAGGACTCGGAACTGTCCCTCCATTATAGGAATGGAGGATACCTCAGCTTGCACTCTGGTGCCAGCCCCAAAGGAGAGGGTAATTCTGATTGCCAGTGCTGAAATGCCAGAGTTGGGAGATAATTGGGGTGGAGTTGGGTGGCATGCAGCTGGCAGTGCTATTACCTCCCTCTGCCCCGTTTCATCTTCTTAGTATATAGCCTTTAAAAAAAAAGATTTTATTTATTTATTCATGAGGGACACAGAGAGAGGCAGAGACACAGGCAGAGGGAGAAGCAGGTTCCATGCAGGGAGCCTGATGTGGGACTCGATCCCAAGTCTCCAGGATCACACCCTGGGCTGAAGGCAGCACTAAACCGCTGAGCCACCTGGGCTGCCTCAGTATATAGCCTTAAAAAAAAAAAAAATCCCTCTTCACAACTGATGAATCACTAAACCCTACCTCTGAAACTAATAATACACTATATGTTAATTAATTGAATTTAAATAAAATAAAAAACAAAACAAAACATTCCTCTTCAATGTTCATTTTAGTCAGACTTCCCAGGATAAAAATGCAGAGAAGGGTACATTATAAGACTATTCATAAACCTTGCACCCCTCAGAAAGTTGGCCCTTCGGTATTAAGCTTCCAGAGACCATAGAAATAAAAATCCAAACACCCTAGTTCTGACTCTGTGCTAGTTACTAGTCACGTGACCTTGGGCAAGTCACTTTACTTCTCAGAGTCTCAATTTTTCCCACCTATAAAGAGGGATTACACTGCTCTGTCTTCTTCCAGGGTTGGGAGGATTAAATGTTGACCTCTCCTTAAATTATAAAACACTGTACACATATGATGGATTATGATTACTAGTGGTAATTAAATATAAAATATTAATAATATACATTTATGTTAAATATGCATATTAATTTGCTAGTAGCAATGAAAATGTAAAAACTCATTACAGCACTAAGTGTTACAATAGGCATAACTGAGCTTGGTTTAGGAATTCACCAGCAATATCAGCTAATAAAAGGGCATTTGAGAGACTCTGAGGGGTCAGTTCCCAGAGACACATCACACAAATGCCCAGGAGCTGAACCAGAGTCAGAGGGAAGAAGTTTTGAGAGAGGCTGGGCAAGGGCTGGTCTGGCTGGGACACTCACTTGAAAGGGTGGCCCTCGTCGGTTTTCTGCACCGCTTGTAAAACAGACTTGTAGATGCGGAAACTGATGGTGGCCGAGAGTGCGGCCAGGGCCAGGTAGGCCACGACGCTCACGACGCTGAACTGGGTCAGGGAGAAGAGCAGCAGCAGGAAGCTCCCGAACACGATCCCGGTCTGCTTGATGTCCCGCCAGTAGAGCAGGTCAATAGCTGTGGGGAGGAGACAAAACCCACATACACACACTCTTAATATGGGCAGTGCTGCTGGGGGCTGCCACGGGGCTCATCCCAAAGCCGTGGTCACTACAGGTCCTCACCTGGCCTCTGGAGTCTCAAACACAAGTGAGTAGACACAGGGCTTCGGCCAGGGCACTTACTGTCATTGTATTTTGTTTTAGAGGACTTTTTCCATCCCTGAGGGTAGTTCATAAATTCACAGATAAGGCTGTTGAATCTCCAGAGACTATACCTCTGTGAGTGTGTCTCACTGGGCTATACCATCTGTGACTTTGAAACAAAACTGAAAGTGCAGAGGACCCAGAAGTACGGGTTCTGTTCCTTTGGATGGCATGGATTGTGTGCATCTTGATGCCCTACTGACAAACTTCATGCCTCAGTGGTGGCCTAGAGATGTGTACCTCAGTCATACAAAGGTTCCCACTGCTGAAAAGGGACAGCTATGATGGAAGCAGAGGTTCTGGAGAAGTGGTACCTTCAGAAGCATGGCAGTGGGTCCAGAGACCTAGCCAAAGCTAAAGGTTTCTGAGTAAAGATATGGCCCACCTTCAAAACAAGCAAAACTGAAAAGTTAGTAGCTGTCTCACAAATCCCTGGAGCTGCCATTTGGATTAAACCCTCTTGTACAGCATAATCTATTTGCTCACATTTTGTGACTTAAAAAATCTGGAATTCAGCTTTAAAATCTGTATCGTATTTCTCATTTAGTTATTTCCCTCTTTCACTTAGAAATAAAAAAATTGAGTTCAAAAGACCAAATATGATACAAAATGTCAGTATTTTCAATATTCCAGCCACCAGAGTATGAAAAAGGCATAGAAGTCTTGCTGAAGAATGTATGCAAATTCATTCTCCAGTGAGGCAAGTCACAAGTGTTTTTTATATTAAGATATAATTGACATATAACATGGTGTAAGTTTAAGGTGCATGACATGTTGATTGGATATATTTATATATTGTAATATGATTGCCACCAGAGCATTAAATTTGTCATAGCACATAATTATCATTTCTTTTGTGGTGAGGACATTTAGGATCAAGTCTCTTAGCAACTTTGAAGTTTATAATACGATATTGTTGGCCATAATCACTATGCTGCATTAAGTCTCCAAAATTTATTTTGCAAGTTCGTACCCTTTGACCAAAAGCATCTCCCCAGTTCCCCCACCCTCTAACCCCAGGAACCACCATTCTCCTGTTTCTACAAATTCAGCTATTTTAGATTCTACTTATAAAGGAGATCATACCATATTTGTCTTTCTCTGTCTGACTTATTTCATTTAGTATAATGGCCTCAACGTCCATCCATGTTGTTGCAACAAATGGTCTTTTTTTTTTAAGATTTTTATTTATTTATTCATAAGAGACAGAGAGACAGAGAGAGAGAGAGAGAGAGGGAAAAACACAGGCAGAGGGAGAAGCAGTCTCCATGCAGGGAGCCCGACGCAGGACTCAATCCCTGGTCTCCAGGATCACACCCTGAGCTGAAGGCGCTCAGGGTCACTGGGGCTGCCCACAAATGGTCTTTATAAAACGTTTATAATACATTTTCAGAAAGAAAATAAGACAAATTTCCCATCTTACAACCAAATTAAAATGGCAGTTGCTTACACTGCCAGCTTCATGTGCAGTGTACCTGGAGGCATCTGGTTTACAGAATTAGATACTAGTCATCTGTTCAGAGGAAAACGAAGGTGACCAGACTGAAGAGAGCAGAGGGCTGCTCCCGTCATACACAGGTATGTAACTAGCTGAAGGAACAGTATTGAAAAGATCACATAGGCTGTGACAAGCCTCTAATGCTATAGAGGGGATATAAGGAGTATTGCGGACCTCAGGATGGCTGGAGAGTAAATCAGGGACTTAAGGGGTGGGGTGAGGGCTCTCTTAAAACAGGCTGAGGATACCTCAGAAATCTGAAGCTGGAGAGATAATTTACTTTGGAGCTGATCTCTCATCCATCCCCACCTACTCCTCACCTAGTGGGTCCACCAATGACATTAACACACAAGATTGTAGGAGTCTGCCATTTTGTTTGGCAAAAATTTGTCCTTTTTCTCTTACAACACTTTTGCATAGGAAGCAGAGGAGAGAATCACAAGCATTGTTTTGGTGTGAAACAAAGATTTTTTTCTCTTTTGAGTGAGCTGGTTCTACAAGTAGGTTTCCAGGGGCAAAAGGAAAAGCACTACTGCTATAAAGCCTCTTCTCCCTTCCCCAGTCACTCACAGACTGACATTCTACTATTAGAAATTCAGTTCTTTATTTTTGTTTTACTTTTTACAAAATGTATTCATTTGAGAGAGAAAGCATAAGCAGAGTGAGGGGCATAGAGAGAAGCAGACTCCCCGCCAGGCAGGGAGCACGACATGGGGCTCGAGCTGAAGGCAGATGCTCAACCATCTGAACCACCTAGGCGCCCCAGAATTTCAGTCCTTTAGATTAATCCTTTTTATCTTTATATTTACCTTTTTTTTTTAAATATTTTTCTTTATTGCAAAGATCTGAGAAGGGGATAATGCATTAATGATTTGCTTATCGTTAACCACAAAATATAAATGAGCTCACCAAATGATTTTTGTTTTAGAAGAGTTTGCTGAGAACAGAGCACCAAGGTAATAATCCTTTCCAGGCAGACAAGAGGGACCTTTTGGAAGATGTGACACAAGAAACCACTGGGCCTCTTAGCATAGGTGACAGAAGTGGGAGCAGAAGGGATCTCCACAGAAGCCCAGTGCTCCCTGGGGTTAAGTGGATTTGGAGCAACAAATTGAGGTAAGCTTACGCCTAAGTCCAGACCAGCTAAAGGCCCCTGGGAAACTGGAGCCTCCTAGCATTTATTCTGTTTCATGTAGGGGAAGGTGGAGGGGGGCAGTAGGAAAATAAAAAGACTAAAACATCACCATTATCTGCAATGTTGCCTCTTCCCCCTTCCCATTTGTTCATTTATTCAATATTTATTGAGCAAGAACTTTTTTTAAGCACCAGGTTTTGTGCTAGGTTCTGCGGATATCAAAATCAATGAATTGGGTTTTTTTTTTTTTTTGAAAAAAGAAAAGCCACACATGAGTAAGTTGTAATCTGCTTTATGACACCCACAGATTCACATGGCAGATGCATTTAGAAACAAATACATGATAAGACAGCATGATTTTTGCTAAAGAGGGCAATCCTTAGTGCTTACCCACATCTGAAATGATGTGAAGGGTCATGGGGGACCCTGAGGGAAGTTTTCAGGCAAAGAAAACATAAAATGTGCTGCTACCAAGTGAACCCCCACTTAAGTTCCTTAACACTTGTTAAAAATGGTGTGCCCTCTAGAAAAGTCCTCTGAACCTCTGGATGCCTGTTCAAACAGCCTGAGAATGGCACGTACTAGGTAGGAGCTTCATGAGCAGAAACTATGGGCAGAGAGTGTGGATGGTCAACTAAACATTAGTTTGGTGTAGTCATTACACAACAGGTGTTTCACTCAATGTGTTAAGATTGCCGAGGTTTCTGTTGAGGAGGTTATCAAAAGATTCATCTTACAATATCAATGGGAAGTTAATTCTGAGTACTTTGTGATACAGTAATCTATTTACATAGATTCTGAAATGTTCAAAGCACTTTCAGATATTACCTCATTTAAACTTCACAATTAACTCCATTGGATAGGTATATAACACGTGAAGAAGCTACAAGTTAAGAAAACTGTCTACTGACTAGTTAATGGGAGAAGCAAGATCAAACTCTTAAGTTTGATGCTTCCTCCAAGACAATACAGTTGCCTCTCTCAGATATGTGGTTATAGGTCGAATGTTCCCCAAAGCATGCAAAATTAATTTCGGTAACCTGATTTATTTAAATCTGCTTTCAGAGCTCGATGTTTAAAGGGCAAGTTTCTAAGTGAAAACGAGCCATTATCAACAGGAAACGGTTATTGGTCTTCTATTCATTTAGTAAAACCAGGAATGAAGAGATCATAAAATTCTGTTCCTGCTTTTAAGGAACTTAAGATCTAGCTGGGAAGACTGACATTTACTCTAAAAATGCTGAATCACTGCCAATATGTTTTGTGTTGTCGGAGGTGGCAAAAGTTGAGTTCAAGGAAGGGATAGTGCCGGAATCGATGAAAGAGGACGTGGGACGGTTTGTGAATGTAGCGAACAATTTGTTAAGGAGATGGAGTGGATAAAGGGAAATATTATGAAGGATTAGTCAACAAGAATGGTGACTAATTAGCCGTGGGAGAAAAGAGGAAGAGCTAATTAAGGGTGAAGGCAACATTTCAAAACTGGGTGACTGATTAGTATCACTGTTTTCCTGACAAAAACAGGAAATTGGAGGGTGAGATGGTTGAGGATAACTTGAATGCTTGCTTTTAAACCTCCAGGTTCTAACATGATGACATCAAAGCATTTTGACACAATCTAGGACAGTGTTGACATAGGGATTACAGGTGAGATGAAGCTGACCATTATAATACTTCCTAAATTTTTTGAAGTTGAGAAATCAAATGATTTGGGTTTTTTTTTTTTCAGGCTTTGTCCCAGTAGCCCTGAGTTAAATGGCCAGTAATATCATAGCCTAGTGACATTGAGATGCATAGGTACAGTAGGAAATTGGAAATGCAAGACTGAAATTTAGTAAAGAGGGCTGAATATTTCCACTGGGGTATATTCTGAGGAGAAAGGATGATTGAGACCATGAGAGTGGAGGAAACCTCCAAGAAAGGAGAGACTAAGAAATGCAACTGAGGATGAAACCATAGTTTCAGACTCAAAGGAGTAAGAGGAGCTTATCAAAAGAGTCCCAACTGAGTGTCAGAGTGGGGACCCTAACAGTGTAGGCTACAGCAGTCAAGAAGAAGGAAACCTTCCAGGACACAGGAGTAGACTACAGTGAAGGATGCTGAAGACATAACAAGGGAAATGATAACTGAGAAAGGACCCTGGGTTTGGAGGCTGAAAGGTCATTTCTAACTTGGCAGA